GAGGGGCGGCCGCGTGGCGCTTTTGTTGCCGGCAGCAGCCGAAACCAAAACACAAAGCTTCTCTGAAGCTTCTCATTAAAACTTGATGGTCTAAGCACGGGTGTGAGGACCCAAGTCCCGCAGAAGCAGCAGCTACGTGTCCAGCCGCCAAGGGAAGGACAGAAGCCGCACAGCCCCACATACACTGGAAGCAAAGGCTCCGTTTTCCTCTCAGTGCCCAAGGCAGGATGATGCAGGTTCCCAAACAAAATGCCAAATACTTTTTGTTTAGTAAGAACGTGGCAGTGAATCCACTAGTTCCGTCTCATCACACAGAGGGTGATCATCTCATTCCCCCAGTCTGGGTAATACAAAACCTCTCCGTCACAGTAGCGGCGCAGACAGCCCTCCCACTCTCCAGGGCCTGTCACCTCCTTTGCCCAGTGCTGGCTCTGAAGCTGGCAGAGCAAACTGCTGGCTCTCCTAAATCCTGGGGTTTTCATACCTAAGTTATGGCAGGGTTATACATAAAGAAAATTAATTTTCTCTTTGCTACTTTTTAAAGAGATGATATTTAGAAACAACAAAAATAAGGGAATGTACTTGTTTAGAGACAAACAAACTGCACCTTCAGGCCAGAAGGCTGCCATTTCCCCACGTTTAACTATTACTGCCTGCAAAGACAAAGCCGTTAGATCTTCCAGTGGTCAGAGGTAAGAGCAACTGCTTTGGCAGAGGTAAGATCACAGTGCACATCGCTGTACCAGACTCGTTTGGTGCTGCTTTTAGAAAGCCAGGCAGGTCAGCTACAGTACAAAACTTGCTTCATCATGAATTTCAACACTGCGCATACTCAAAAAAACCCTGTTCTTAATCAGGCCACAAATGAAGCATTTTCTTTGGAATCGCCCCTTGCTAATTCACAGTTTTTATCTGGAGGCTGGGGATAAGCAGACCTCTTGCCTTCGCACGAAATACCGATTTAGAAAGTGAGTGGTGTCTGGACTCCCGCTAAACGCCGACTGCAGCACACCCTGCCCCTAGACGAGAACAAACTCCTTCCAGCCCTGGCGCGGACATCAGTGTTTGTCTTCTGTCAGCCTGCTCTCACCAGGAATCGGGGCTGCCGCCTGCTCTCGATCACCGCAGGCTCCAGCATTCCTTTGCTTGAAGGCTCAGAGGAACACCTAAAATCTCTCAAGCAATTTAGGCAACTTCTCTTGCATATCGCAGGGTCTCAGCCACATACCTGATGAGCTCAGGGCTGTGAGGATTCTCTCTTCTATACCCGACACGCAGCTTGGAACATGCTTACGTTGCCTGCTAGAGAAAGCAGCTGCTGGCTTGCAGAGACTTCATTGCCCGAAATACCTACTGAGCCTGCGTTGATGGGGATGGTTTTTTCGGATGGGTGAAAGCAGAGGAGGAGGCCTGGCTCCAACATGCACTAATTTTCCAATTCAGAAAACAATTCTAGGGTGGCTTTAGGGTTCCCACATCAGTGCCATAAAGGAAAGTGAACTGTTGTGAGCCGAGTCCCCTTACTGCGCCGACATGATCCGCTCTTAAAATTTACTAAAACCTGTGAATTGCCATCCCGACCATCTAAAGGGAAGATAGCCAGTTAACAGTTCCTTAGTTATGTATCTGACAGAGCTGTTTTCTCCCAGCAGCGTCTCAGAGGGTGGAGGAGAAATAAGTGTGAGCTGTGAGGAAAGCAAGAGGATGCCACAAGGGTTCTATCAAACTGCCAGGGAAAAAGCAATAAAACCACTGGGCTTCACTGTTTGTTTGGGTTTTTTTGTAATGTCGCTGAGCATGAGGAGGGAACAGGAGTGCAGGCAGCAGCGCAGCCTGAGCAACCACAGCTGAGCAAAAGGATCTCTTGCTACATTTCCAAGAGGCACACAGGCTAAGGATTAGTGATAGTCCTCAAGTGTTCCACAGAAAACACACACACACACACACATATGCACGCACGCGCACACACACACACACACACACACACACAAATTATATATATCTAAAGGCTGAAGCTCTGGAGACCATGAAAAACAGAAGGCAAACAAAATAAAAAGTGTAGACAAGGGCAGAGAAGTAAAAGAACTTCACATAGCAAAAATGTTTGGGTGGAGTAAAATTAGTAAAGCATTTGCTTAGATTATAGAAGATATGCGTATAAATGGGGGGTTTTTTTAGTGACTTAAAAATCAGTGAGATAGTTAAAATAAACAAAAAAGGATTAAGTGCTTGCAAGAGCACCCATAGCAACAGAATCAGAAAAACCATCAGCATCTGTACTCTCCTTAAGTTTATAAAAAGGATACTGAAACTGTAATTGCCTAGACAGCATAGCAACCGCCTCCTAAAAAAGGGAGGTATCAGACTCATATGAAAGAATCCTTAGCACAAAGTGTATCAACTGGGTCATGAACCATGTGAGAAATTCAAGGCCATTCCTAGTTGCCAGGATTGGTACCTCGGGCACAAAGCGGATCGGCATCAGGCAGTCAGCCTAGGGAGAAGCTCCGAGGTGACTCCCAGAGGCTGATGTGTTCTACGCTCACAAGACACACACAACAAACTGAAGTGCGTGTATGGTGGAAGAGGCATCAAGATCAACCTCAAATACCGAATGCTCATTTATGTTAACAAAACAAAAGAAAATCCAAATTAACTACAGATTGAAATACTTCTTCATACACAGGTTTTTGGCATATCTTCACGCTGGGTGGACCACAGACATCTGATTCCTAGGAATGCAAATAACCTCACACAGGCACTCCACCGACACTAATCGGTCGAGAGCTTCATTTCTGTCCACCAACATTTCAGCTGTGCAGCTGGATATCGGCATCTCACTGTTAGCAGTGACACAAAGCAGTTATTAGAAGTGGCACAGAGAGGAGAAGTACGAGTGGCTGATCAGACAGCAATAAGAGCATCTTTTCCTATTACCCTCCTCTAAACTTACTCTAAAAAGCTGTGTTGAAGTTTGCTGGGGAACCTCTCACACCAGCTACAGAGCTCTATAAATAATTCCTATGTTTGAGCCAGTTGCTCACTGGTCAACTACAGGCAGTCTATTAATATTTGTTCCTTTAATTATCGTAGTTACTTAGTAATCATTGCATCGCCTCTACTACACAGAGCATACCTAAGTAAGCAGATTTCTGCTGGAGCTCAGTCAGTCTGTGCAGTCGTTCTTCGTTCTTGCCTTTCAACTGATCAACATCGAGGCTGAAGCTCGAGCGCAAAGAAAAGCTGTCAGGCTGCAGCGTCTGGCCCGGTGGAACATCCTCCTGCAGAAAATCAAAAAAATGCACAAATCCCTCAGACAAACAGCATCCATTTCAAGAGGGGAAATAGCTATGAATGCACACTCTCAGTATCCATATCGTCTAGCCACTAAGGAACCACAGGCACTGTCTGACGTTAGATCTGTGGTCCACCTTCATATTTCATCATACGTACCACACACTCCAAAGCTTTCTGCTTTGTTCGTCTCCTCTCCCTTGCAGAAGGTGGAAGCTGCGGTGATAAATTAACGTCTCCTCCAGCAGGAAACATTTCCCCATTAGCACCTGGAAAAACAGGTAAAAGCATTTGCAGAGGAATCAAAATACTAGGCAGAGTTTTGAAATGAGCCAATACATTGTACTTGATTTAACCACAGGAATCAAAGGAATGTATTCATTAGGATATCGTGCTGAAGCCAGTGATAATCCAGATGCAGACAAAAGAACAAGGTATCACAACAAGAGCCAGGGATGAACCCCAAGCAAAGGCAAGGAATGTCCTGAGATATATACTGAGTTCTCTCTTATGTAGAGGATAAGGCATTTCACACCCTGCAAATCCATCAGCCACCTTACTTCATCGTATCTTGTTTATACCGAGGCCTTTAAAGAAAAGGAGTACTCAAATGAGTATAGTAACTCTGCTTGAAGAGAGAACACCAGGCAAAATGGAGGCATAAAAAGATACAAACATGCAATAAATTACGTGTGTAAATCTGTTACATGGAATAGATAATGTTACATGGAATGATAATGTTACATAGAACATGAGAACATAATCAATGCCTTAATCACAGACCCACAGTCATATCTTAGCCTTTTTACATAATAAAGTGTGAGAATCTGTTCATACAAAAATAACTAACTAAATTTTTGATTATACCTCTATCACATTACAGTGGGGGAAGTTCAATCTGTTTTTATAATCTAAAAGAACCCTAATGTGGTGTCGCTGCTTCACACTATTTTTGCCTGTTTCCCCTTCCTTTGCTGATTCTGGAAACTACTCCAAACACAAACTGCTTCAAACAGATCCTTTTTTCTCTCCAGGACCAGTAACCGCTGCTTGGGGGCTGGTTTATGGCATTGCCGCTGTCTTGGTGCCGACAGTGGGCTCCATTTTCTAGCTCAGTCCCTCTAGCACCTCCACGAATAGAGTCTCCCAGAAAAATAAAGGGCTCTGCTTAACAAAACCACCGCAGAATCTGCTACCACCAATTAACAGCTTGCGACAACAAAGTCACCTTTTGGAAAGGCTCTTAGTCTAGTACGACATATTAAGTTTAATAAAAGAAAAAGATAAATGTGTGTAAATATATATACACATACACACAAACACACAGAGTACTGAACAATTCTGCAGGATTTGTCTGAAACAACATACTGTGACATTAAAAATAAACCACAACTGTGGAAAGAATGGGTTTTTCAGTCCCTAGCAATTTGAAAACAAATTTTAATGAAATTTTTTATATCATTCACAAGCTTCAAAGATCTTCAACTTAAATTTTAAAAGTAACGATGAAACAATTATTTCAGCTGAACAGTGAAATATTTTGAAAAATAAAATCAACTGATACCAAGGAAGTTCAGAGAAACAAAGACATTTTTAAAAATTCTTCATAATATCAGTTGATTTCTCCCTGGAAATAAAAATTTTATTCCCCTCTCCTCTTTTCCCTCCCCCAGTTTCACCAAAGGTACTCGTGCTCTCATCACAAATATTTCAAGTAAAAAAAAAAAAAAAAATCACAGAACATTTTTGAAATGGTACCTGGCTATCAATCCACTTACCAGAATTCTAGTTACAAGATCAGTTGAACTTCATTATATTCAAAGTAGTGCTACTACTCAGAATATGAAAAATTGCTTAATCATGTGAACTTATCACAACAGAAACAAAGTACAAGCTAAAGAAGAATTTATTTGTTCCTTTAGTGTTCAATCAGTACAAGGTGTTGCTACCTGTTCCTTTACGCATCTATCATTCACAGGCGTGCTTTCAAATCACCGCATGAAGACTGATGAATTCTAAGCTTTCAAGTGAGGTAAAAAAAAAGGGAAAAAGAAATTGATGAACCTCTTTATTCCTAACTGCCTCAAATTCCTGAGCCCCAGGAGATAAAGACAAATTCATTTGCAATGCTGACATCTACTACAAAATTGACTTAGATTTTAAATCCATGTCAAAAAAAAACCCCAAAAAAACAGAGGGTAGTGATCAAATACACCACAAGTATTTCACAAAAGGCCCTCCGACAACGTGAGCAGCACAATTCGCAGCGAAGGCAGCCCACAGACAATGAGAGTTTGTATTTGTCATTTCAGGGATGGAAGTCACCAGATTCATGTTCAGAATTTTAATAGCTATTTATAAATCCCAAATAACAGAAAGGGTAACAAAGTTTTAGTTAGTGCCTACAGCTCGGTATCGGGGCGCATGTTTTTCACTACAGTCATAAATGATCTGGGAAAAAAAGAAAAAAGGGGCGATGAATAGTATCGTATGTTAACTCCATCAGAACCAGCTGGATGGGGAGAAAAAGGAAATAGGAGAGAGGACTACAGATATCACGAACCTTGTGAAGGTGGTGAATAAAACCAAGGAGCACCCCATTACAGGGTGGCAGATTCAGAGCAGATGAGAAGAGATAGTTCACAGAAGGCCCAGTGTGGAAATTTATCCACACAATACCACTGAAGGTAAACAATTAGATTAAAAAAATGCCAATTCCGATTCATGAAAGACAACCTATAAAAGAGCCAGCTTAGCAAGGCTTACTACATGCAGACCCCGAGCATCAGACTCGAGAAGCCCCTGAGCTACAAGCCGCTGGAGGAGCTTGCTGCAGCATCGCTGCATGCCTGCCCTCCGCCTCAGATTCTTCCCCATGCACCTGTTCTGGCTACTGTTAGAGACAGAATATTTGGCCAGATTCTAGACTGATGGACTCTCCTAAAGCATCCTTTCCTCATTTGGGCTCTAACTGCTGAACAGTATTTCCTAACCTGAAGGAGAACGTATTGCAGATAACAGAGAGGACCAACTGCACTGAACGAGCCTGAAAGCCCCATCCCGTGCCCTCCCCAGTGCCAGGTTCTGTCCTGCACTCCAGGACTTGCACATTAACAGAATAAGCTTGAATACATTTCAAATGAAAAATTCTGCTTCTAAGCGAAGCCAGAGATAACAATCATCGGTATACAGAAACATATCTAGTTTCATTAAAAAGCACTTGCAGGAATCTCGCTGCATCTCCCCTACAACAAAGAATAAAACCTTGTAAGATTATTTCCCATAGATGATTGAAGAAAAATTCAAAGTACTGTAATGCTTACTAATGGAAAATAACACGTAGAGGCCTCAGCTGGTTGGGTTTTTTAAAAAAGAGAAGTTCTAGCCTTATTATTTCCAGTGACTGAAAACAAAACACATCTGAAACAGCACTTCTACATACATGCATATAAAGGTTGAATACAGAGACAAAAGACAATGTGAGAAACAGTTCTTTATATAAAAATCTTAAGAAAACTAAAAATAATCTACTTCAGATGATTAAGAAGTGACAAAGTTTACAAGTACGATGTTGCAAGTTATGTGAAATGAAGTAATGTGTGAACAGCGGAAGAGTAATTTAGAATGAATCACTATTTTATACCCATATAATCACATTTAGAGTCGAGCATGCTTGTAAAACAAAAGAATAAAAATGAACAGAATCGCTGGCTGCCCGACAGTTATATTTCACTATGGACAGCTCATAATTGTAAGCTGTGATTGCTAATACATTATTTTATTTGCTGCAGAACAATAGAAGAGCATTGCATATTCTACCATTGTAACACATCTGGCTGAACAAATATTAGCTTTTCCTTGTGCAAAGCTGGGAAGATGTCAAAAAAATAGCTCCTTGACAAGGCTAACATCCCAGTCAGAGCACACTGAGCACAGCAAGACGCTTTCTCATGAAAAGATGTGAAGTGGTACAATGCAAGTGAACAGCATCATTAATTTTAGGTGTGACCCACACAAATATATTGCCTTATCTGCATTTTAATTTTGAGACATAATTTTCTAATACTCTAAAACAATCACCATAGCTACACACACTGCAACTTTTAAAACAGTAATAATCATTTTAGAGACACATTATTAGATTGACATGTTTGTACATTCATAACATGATTAAGGGGAGGTATAAACTCACCAATAAAAGCGCTATCCGATTCCAACAGCGAATTTCTCAAGAATTCATCAGAGTCATTCCTGAACTACAAAAGTGAAGAAGACGACATGCAAATTCAGGTGCCTCAATAACTTTCTGGGGCCAAATTATAATTAACGTAAATTAATCGCCAAACTTCTGCAAAGCAAACAGCAGCTCTACAGCGTTCTGTACTACTCCCTACTTTACGGCTAGAAAAAAACTATACATTTTTAAAAATAACTCCTGTTCTCTTTAAGCATTAGGGTTTTTTGACTTTTCTATAGTAATCCCACTTACTGAAATTGCCTACACGTGGCACCAGTTGTGGTGAGTTGTGCAACACAGACGTTTCCGTCAAGAAAAACATCCTCGTCACTCTGCTTGAGTTTCAAGTCAGCACTAGAAGTGAACTTTGCAGCTAAGGTTTGTATGAAGCATTGATCAAATGAAGAAAGGTTCCTCATGTTTCACTTATCCCACCACATACAATCTTTGATATTAAAGCATTAAAATAACAAATTTCTTCATAGTAATAACAAGCACTAAGAGTAATACTTCTAGCTGACTGCATAGCTGCCACCATTTGTTACAGCAGTTCTACTATGGAATAATTTATGTTGAAAACCACTCCAAAATCAAAGCAGTCGAAACTATCAGAGGAAATAGAACAAGAGAAAATAAATTTTTTACTGCAAAGCACTGCTCTGAAGAAGAGTTTCAGGCAATCAATTACAACTATGAAATGCATTAAGGTGATTTTTTTTAATAAAGTTTTGGTTTTGCGTGTAATTACAGAATTATCCTTGAGCCTAACGGCTTTGCTCTTGCGCAGTCTTCCATTTTGTATGGTTTCACATTCACATGAGACACAATGGAACTCTGTTATTCTGTAGTTTGGGTAGTGCAGAATTCCAATTCGATATAACTTTATTGCACTCTTTTCACCAAGTCAGAAAATAAACGTCCCATCTGAGACATTGGATCGAATTACGTGCATCACTTCAGCTACCTGAATTCAGAGCCACTGCTTCCGACTTGGCTTTTTCTGCTAATTGAATGACCCAGCAGCAATCTAACATCATATGACTACAAAGTACCAATGAATACAAAAAGATGGGAGTTAAAGAATCAACCTATCTCTATGTACAAAGATAAACAACTTGTATGCCAAGTTTAAAGAAGCTGTTACTCATTGTATCGACAAGCAAGAGAAATGAGCAAGCTTGCTGTCTTGTTAGTTTAGTGTAATTAATAATAATATAATAAATATTCTGTAAAAGACACAATATCACACTTGAAAAAGGCAAATAATAAAATAATAAATAAATAAAATAATAAAAAAACTGTTCTATTCTTACCAGTCCCATGGTTTGTGGGTTACCGCCAGAAGCAGAATCATCTTGATCAACAAAAGCCGCACAGACAAGGGACAAAACAATAGTATTGACATAAAAACAGTTAATAGTAAGACATATTAAAAGTAGTTTTATTGGCATATTATTACAAAAACAAAGACCACTGTGCATTACTTCTTTAAAATGACACACATTGTAATGAATATTTTTAAATCATTTGAATGCCTTGTTTACTCCAGTTTCCTTATGTCAATTTATGTAGAATAAGAGGAATCAAACAGAACTCGCCAGTATATTATTTCTAAGAATGTTGAGCATGTGCAAGCCCTTCTTAAGGCCGGATTCATCAATCAGTCTCTCCCAAAAAGCAAATGTACTTTTCACACTAGAATTATACTGTTCATCGCTAATAAAAATCAACCATTTCCCATCTTGTTCAAAACCTGATCTGTTATCCAGAAAAGGGAAGCACAACTATTCTTTTATCCATTGAAAAGCTGTTTTTTTAAGAAGATATTATCACACTTCATTAAATGCTAAAACTGCAGTAAATTGTGCTGAGTTCTGAAAAAGTTCTCTATACTGCAATAGTCAAAACTACTTTTGTGCTATGTTTACAACCATACTGTAAAGACTTGTTATAGAAAAGTGTCCAAGTATTGACCGATTAAAGTAAAAAACCACCAATTAGTGGGAAAGAAGCATTGTTTAAGCCATCAAAGCAACGCATGAGGGCACAAAAGGGTGCTGCATGAATACTTGGTTTCTCTCTTTTACCCTCTTACGTTTTGTTTGTTGATACCTTAACATCTTCATTATTTGAATTACTGCATCTGAAACAATATCCAGTCACACAGCTAGCAAGAAATGATGTTTCCATCATATGTTCTGCACACTGCTGAATCCTAATGCAGCTGGAATGCAATACTGAGAACACACCAGGTTAAGTAACTTCAAATGAAAAAGCATTTAAACAGAAACCTACTTTCCAAAGCATACCCAAGAACTCAAAGTTGATGGCCTTCTTGCTATAATAAAAATTATACTCCCTTCCCTAGCATAAGTATTATGGTTTTCTTGCCATCATCTTCATATATTAAATTTTATACATGTCACATCATTCTCATATTAAAAAACATTTGTGTTTAAAAAAAAAAAACAAACACAAAAGAGTGTAAGTTAAAGGTATTCAGCATCCCGGTAGTTGCTAGTGCTAAACTGCAACACTTTAAACTCCATCTGAACTTCTCAGCTAGGGCAAAAAACTCAATAATGGAGAGAAATTTCTCTGTTCTAAAATTTTTGTTTAAACCTGCTACGAACCAAGTAGAAAACCAAAACAATAATGTATCAAATTTCAAAAATGACAGACCCAAAAATTTTTAGTGGTCTATCAACAGCTAGACCAAGGGAGTCAGGAGTCTCATTTAGATGTAGTGAAGCTAAACATTACAACAGTTTTGTAGTTAAAACTCATGGATACCCAAAAAAAAAAAAAAAATTTATTCCATATTCCAGACATCTGCTTGCAGGAATAGGCATGTTTATGCAGCTGAAGTCGTATTTATATCAACAGAACTCAAGACTAATGATGTTCTCCCTTAGGTGGGAGATCTCAACAACCAATTTGACTAGCAAGAAGGATGCCGTGTCACAATAAACTGTTAGATGAAATTAGTTCTCTTGGCTTTTGTCAGGGTGTAATAACGAGAGCAGGAGACAGCAGAAAGCCCCAGGAGCGAATGCACGTTCAACATGCTAAGCACACTGCGTTTGCAGCTTTCAAAGAGAGATTGAGAGGCTGGACAGTGGTCATTTCACAGAGGAAAGTACTTGTCTAAGGATAAAAACCTCAAGTCTGGAGAGCACAAAGAACCACCCTGAAAGTTAATCTAACAATGACCCCATGCACGCTGGAAATACAAAGAAGCAAAACTGAAGTTGTTCTTCTCATTGGTTTAAGTCTTCAAATAAAATATTTTATATCATAGTTTTTATTTCTTGCATCTCTGCCTAGCAGATTTACGCCGTGTGTAGCTGGCCTTCTGTCCAGCATCAAAAGCCACAACACACAGGCTGGTTGTCCCTTCTCCTGGACTGACAGCCAGCCCATTCCCGATACGCTACTCCAGTCAAGCAGAGCCCAGCACTGCAGCGTAACATCATCAAACCCCCTCCTGTGCCCTTCCCTCCAATCCCCCCAGATAATAATCATCCAGAAGTCTGCAAAAGACTGCCTTACTTATAAGGACACAGAAAGCATTTTTAAAATTTGGAATATTTAAAACATCAAATTTCTCAGGTTATAGTTCCACTGAATAGTCCACATATTTCTCTCTTACATAAAGAGGAAAAGAAAAAGGAAAGAAAAAGCTTATCAGAGAGAAAACAGTATATAAAGCATGTAAGGTAAAGAACACTTACATATAGTGTGGGAAAACAGGTAAGCCCTTGACACAACAGCCTATAATACAACATTTTGCCCATGGTACAAAAATACATATTGCTTTAATTCATCTTTCTTTTTGCCTTAAATCAGACAATAAAACCACTCATCTATTTTCAGTGAGAGGAAGATGATGCACTTGTCTCTGAGGAACATAAACTGGAAATAGAGATACTCTACTGGCAACTAATTAATTCTCTTGCTCAGTACGCAGTGACGGACTACAAAGTTAAACGATATTGTAAAGCAGTAGGAGACAGAAAGAGAGAGGAAAAGCTGCTCAAGGATCCATTATAAGCTTCAGCGGAAACCTGCTTTTAAAATCAGCTGTTTGTCTACCAATGAATTTAAATTGTCAACTGCCTGTTTAGGTTGTCACCACGTAAGCCTGCGTTATCCACATAGCATTAGCATATGTCTAAAATGAGTGCTTGCTCTTAAAATTAATGAAAAAAGCAGATTTGCTTTCTAGATGGTGGAGGTTCCTCTCCAGATAACGTTAAATTAAAGCCTTCCCAGACTGGCCTATTGAGAAATATTCCAATAGCGGGAAACAAAACCAAACCCCACACAGATCTCAGCTGAAGCTAGTGAATTATTTTTCACCATTTCAGTCAATCTCACAAAGGGGAAGGCTGAAGACAACCCTATACATTCCTTTCAGACATTAAATGATATTTAAGAGCTTGTAATTAACACAGAAAGTGGTACAGATACACTTAATTGCAACTGCGATGTTGTGTTATCCATAAGCAATATAGCACACATTGCTTGACCACCAGCACACCTCTCCGAGATGGAACAGGAATCATCTTTAAAACCTACCAGGGTACCAAACAAAACACCCTGCAAGTAACCGTCACCCTTCACATCCTGGTATCAACTTTGTTAATCTTACTCGCATATGGGTCTGTTAACAGGTAACACAAACAAGCCTCAAAGCACAACCAGCAATAAGAGGAGGCATTCAGTTTTTCTAAAGCCATATGGAAAGGTGTAACTATTTTCCTTTCATACATGTCTGGGTTATTCTTTGCCAAACTTTCAACTCATCTCCAACACTAAAAAAAGTCTAAGGAGCAGTCTTTAAATCATCCTGGGTGTCTGTGGCAAGCTGGGGGCTGCAGGGCTGGCCCCTGTGAACAGATAGCAGGGGCCGTCCCATGTCAGGCACAGCCGATACCACAACGGACCCACCACAGGACACAGTGCAACCCCATCAGGCCAAACCTGCAGTGCCCTCTGTGAAAACGTATTTAGGAAAGGGCAAAACAAAGCACAGGAGTAAGGACAAAAGCATGAGAAGCCGCCCTCCAGACACCAAGGTCAGTGAAGGAGGAGGGGAAGGAGGTGCTCCAAGTGCCGGAGCAGAGATTCTGCTGCAGCTCCTGGAGGAGACCATGGTGGAGCAGACGGAAAGGTGCAAAAACGCAGGAGAAGCAGAGAGAAACCACTGTGTACTGACCGCGATCTCCCCCACTGCCCCCCGGCCTGACGCCACTCATTGCATCATCGAAGGGACTGAGCATAACCTGGGGTGGTACCAAGGAAGGGGAGCAGGCGCATCGGGAGTGAAGGAGTGAAGGTGGGCGTGGGGAAGGGGGCAGAAAAGGTGTGGTTTTGAGGATTGTCTTTTTGTTTCCCGCTACTCAAAATCTGTAATTAAATGTTTATTTAAATTGATAATAACTAGGTTAATTTTCCCCAAGTTGAGTCTGTTTTGCCCACAGCAGCAATTGGTAAGCAACCTGCCTGGCTGTACCTCGGCCACCAAGCTTTATTCCTCCCGTTCCCCCCACTGTCTCGCCAAGGGACATGAGTCAGGGGGTGTGAGCAGGCAAGCAGCTGGGTGGGACTTCAGCTGCTCGCCAAGCTGAAGCCGTCACAGAAATAAAGTTACTTTCTCTTAAAAAAATTTAGTTAGGCCAGTCTGAGTTAGAGACAAACACTTCTCTGAGAAACTCGTATCTTGCACTCAAAACTGAATTCATTTGTACAGTCACAACTGTAACTTTTGGAAAGGTTGAAGCAACTCATGATATTTTTAAGTAACATCTAAAATAACTTGAGATACTGCTTTTTCATGACCATTCGTAAAAGGTATCTGAATGAACATTACATCTGGAATTAAGTGCAGCATGCAAGAAAGGGCATTTACTTTTCACTGCTGCTGCAATATGCAGCCAAAATATTTTACTCTGTTAATATGTTAATATTTTACTATATTAGGATGATCTCTATTAAGCGATACAAGCAATGTTTTCATTCTAGAACCTCAAACCAGTTATGATATCTTTCACGTGATTTCTAAAACAAAGCCTGTTTACAAATACAGATTTCTGAAACTCTGAAACAGTCAACCCAAGACTATGGAAATGAAAGAAATTTTATCCATTAAAAGGAGATCAAGGCGCAGACACACTGGCTGCCTTTTAACCAATTCAGTTTTAAAGCCATCTGCTTCCTCAGTGAGAACTGAAGACGTGCCACAAGGAACTTACCTGCTAATGTTTTTACCACAAACCAGCTGAAAAGTTTTACCGCTCTACAGTTTTCTTTGAGAAACAGTAACCAAACTACTTTTCTCTTGCATTTTTCTGAAGTATGAAGCACTAGTTAAATTACTTTCAGGGAACCAAAGAGAAATAGTCACAGCAAATTAAAAAAGAGAAAAAAGAAGGCATTCAATTTTTTTGTGCTTTACTTTATGACAGAATTTCAGCATTCCAGTGTTTTACTGTTTTGTACTGCAGTGCTGATGTTGAACTTGAAAGCAATAAAACGAGAGCTGGTGTTTTTTAATTCTTATCAAATGCAAAACAAATAAACAAAAATCACTGAAATTAAGTCAGACCATTCATTCCTTACCTTCTGTTTCTCTCCTTGTTCTCATTCTGTCAACTTTCTTCTGCTGCTCCCTCAACAGTGCCTGCTGTTGAATCTCTAGAGTCTGGTCATCTTCTGGAGGATCAGGATACATACGCCTCAAGCCCATACGTGTTTCAGAATCTAGAGCAAAGATATTAATTTTAAAATTTTCTCTAAGCCAACATTTCTGAAAAACATTCTTAAATAACTAGCTACAGATACAAAGTCATAAAAAAACATTAAAAAGAATGGTGACAATGGCCAAGAGGATGAGCCACTTTAGCAATGATTTTACAACTTTACTATATTAAAAATGTATTTTCTGGTAAAGGAGAAACAGAAAGTTACACAGAATTATAATTTGTTGGTGGGTAAAACAATCAAATTCACTCTAATTTCAGTAACGTCATAATAACAAACGCATAAGAAGTTTAAGCAGCAAGGACTGGAAGTGAGATCAGTGCTCTGACTGATAACTCAGTATTACAATGCCATGAATTGTGGGCACTTGTAGAAAACAACCACACATACACAATGCTGTCCACAGAGTATGTTGTGTATGGGCAGTAGCTGTGAAGAGGCTGATCTTTATTTCTGCCTTTAAATCCTGGGTGGTGTCAAAGATGGAGAAAAGAACAGATGTTTCACTACCTTTCTTCACCAATAATAAGATCAACCTGCCTTTGTATTTAAGTTCATTAAATTCCCAGATATTCTGTATATTGACAGGATCTTGTGTCTCCTTTGACGAAGGTCGCCTTACTGGAGCCTGCAGGCGAAGCCTGGCCATCTCAAATATGTCCTTTGGATTCTTCTCTCTCCTCCCGCTTGAGAAGTTTGTGAAACAAGCAGAATATAATTTAACACATGAATGAGTTGCATGCAAATATAATATTGGTAAAGCTCACATCTTCTATCCTTAAATAAATCTATCAAAACAGGAAAATAAATTTGCAAGTAATGACACCGCAAATTGTGTTATAAAAGCGATCACATACTTAGAATAAAAAAAAAAAACCCTAAAACTACATAGAGTCGAACTAAGACTGATGATATGATGAGTCTTTTCTAACTAACTGGTACAATTAACTAACACATTTTGGAAGTAAGCCAATTTTTCTAAATAAAAACAGTACGATTTTCAATAAGAAAGTACCTACTTCCACAGCACTATGCTATTCATAAGCATATTTATCAGCAGTAGTACTGCAGCTTAGAGACACAAATTATGCCCTAGAAAAGAAAGGTAATGAGATAAAATTCTGCCTTAGGCATCTGCTTTGGACCACTCTCCAACACAGAGTACTGCACCTTCCAATCTTACCAGTACAGCCATTCTTACACTACACTTTTACAACAATCTTGGAAAAAACATTTCACTCATGTATGTTAGCCAACTAATACTAGCTTCTAACACACAATAGCTTTGAGCTCCTGTGCAAAATCTAACTTTTAAAACCAAAGATGAAATTCTTACCATGTCATTGGTACTTCATCATCATTGGCCACATTTAGCAACTGTTCCTGCAGTCGCCTCTCTTCGAATTTAACACAAATAATTTAAAAACCAAGAACGTCAAAGATACTTTTCTGCCTACCTCATAAATGTAAGGTGAAAAAAAAATATAACGAACTGCTAATTAAAACAAGGATTATACAAACACAAGGATCACAGCATTTCATAGACTAGAAATTAGGTCAGAGCTTGTATTTTGAGACAGCACAAGGACCAGATTCCCTGAACAGCAGAAAGCATCCAAACTTCAATGGAAACATTTTGCTGTATTTAAAAAAAGAAAAGCTGTGAAATACCTGCAAGTGGACCCCGCCAGTAAATAGCCTTATTTTGAAATTAGCAAATCTGCACAGTCCTCAGAGTCCCAGAGGCAGATGACAGGAACTGAGGTGGTATCAGCAAGCACACAACCTCATTTCTGCTTCCTGACTCAAAAGTGGTGTTATAGAAACAAACAGCCAATATGTAAGAAGAGTCGCTGGTTTGTGTTCTGGTATACTACTCCTATACATGTGCTCATATAACTAACATGCAGGATATCTGCTCGAACTTCAACACTTATTTTTAGTATGTGCTTATGTTGACTTTTCGAACTACTTCGTCTCAGCTGTTTTTTTGTGGTCAGAAGAGTATTCCTCCACAAACAGTTTCATAAATTCCTATTTTCCAAATAACATGCTTAACAATTTGGTATTTTACTGACTTTTAGCCTGAGTCCAGAACGTAGCAGGCAAACAAGTTTTACTAGCTTAAATCCTCAAACACAAGATTTAATTCATATGTCTTTATTTCTCTCATGACAGATGGTCTGAGCCAATTGATTTCCAAGTGCTGCATTAAGAACCACTCTGCCTCCCATTTAGCAGAAGAGCAGTAAATCCCCAGAACAGACCCAGGTACTGACTGCTTGGGGTCAAGATTTGTAGGACGTCATTTACTGTTACATTCCACATGTTGTTTCTTTTATAGTTGTAAAAAAGAATCAGAAGAGAAATTACTGCTTTCCACCCACACACTGCCAAGATAACTAACACATACAGAGCAAAGAAGATCCTCCCAGCATGTCTGAATTTTAAAAACACCAGTGAAAGCCAAGAGGAACGAGCAGAGGATTAGGAAGATTAACAGTCACCACTGTCCTGACTGAAAGATTCAACACTTCCCGTGCAGACTATTCCATTATCAGAGTTGTTACAAAAAAAAAATTTCCTGATGAAGACACATAATAAATGCATTTTTATTTTGTATTAATACTTCAGGCTTACCATACTAATACACTGGCATTACTAAGACACAGAGAACACCCATACAGAAATGCAAACTTTGTAAGACCATTCATTTGCAGGCAAGAAAGAGAACTGTAACTGAGAACAATTTCGTTGTAATGGAAAGTGAGCTTGCAACAAAGACAGTACCTACCAAATGCACGCAACTGATTTCTTCTAGCAGGGACAGGTGGAGAAGGAACCCTTGGTTGTGGAGGATTCTAGTGATCATAACGAATATGAAATGTTAATATGTCAAAGGAAGAAAGTACAGCAGACACAAGTACATTTTCTTTCCTTATTTTATGTCTAATTTATGTTAACTACCACTACTACTGGAAGACAGAATAGTAAACCTTACAAGCTGTTAAAGTCTAAGTTTTTTTTCAAATCTGATCTTTAAATGTATAAACCAAATTACTATGATAATACCTATAACATACTATTCAGAGATCTGGACAAAGCTACACCAAGTACTGCGAAGACACAGAAATAAACTGACCTTCCTCCAGAGCATTCTTAACATTTAGGGAAAGCAACAGTTTCAAATAATGTTTAAAGTCTTACTTAAAACATTTTCTGAAACTGCACTACATTCTGCCAAATCATCATTGTAATGGCAAATTAATTTTTTAAAATTTTAGCTCAGTTCATACAGACAGTTGGTAAAAAAAAAAACCACTTCCAATAAAAAGTCAGAAGCGTAGCCTGAGATTCAAATATCATGGACAATTATTTAATTTACTTTTCACAGAAGAAATTTATTTTTTATAAAAACAGCTGTCCCAGGAAGATTAAATCAAGTGAAAGAAATGGGTGGTCTCGGGACCACTACTGTGACTTGTTCATGATGCAAAGAAGAAAAAGTCAAGTGTATTAGGAGTCATAATCTTATTGTACCTTCGAAAACAAAGACAAAACAATAATGTCTGTAGCTAGGAATCAACATTAAACTTCATGCCTGAGCTAAGTTTTCCTCTGAGTGAACACAATGAGTTGCTAGATTAGATGTAAACTTTCTTATCCTAAATCTTGAGATCGTTAGACCCTTAGGGTAAGTTGGACAGAGTATCTACACTCAAAAATGAGGTGCTCATCTCTGCAGAAAATGTGCATGCAGAAAAAAAAAATAAAATAATACATCCTGAAGAAATTTCTTCAATACTTTGAATAAAACTGAACATTAAGTTCCACAGCTACACGACTGGCTAATATAAAGATTGTCTCCAGTTATTTGTGGTATTCCAGTAATAACTGGCAAACATTAAAAATCTGGTAGGATTTCATTCAAGGGCACTGTCTTAAATAATTCGGCATGTGTTAACTATAAAAATCATACTTGGGCATAGCAAGATATATGGCTCTCGGCAGAGGGAATCCTTTCTTCTTTTCTTATTGATTTGTTCTGAAGAGCAGGAACGATGGGAGAAGGCTGCCTTGAAAACTGCAAGGAGGAATGCAAGACTGAAACCACATTCCTGTAAATTCTAACTGAAGTATTATTTTGGACAGGAAGAGTTTTGTTAATATTTTTCATTTGACAGAAAAATGCTTTTGCTTATCTTCATTGAATTATTTTTGTATCTAATTTGCTGTCAAACTCTTAACCACATAAAATTATTGCAAAAAATACTTCATGTGATTTTATATTCTCCCTACACTAATTTTAATACTTTTTTTCTATGATCTAGTTTTTTAAATTTATGGTTAAGTTACATATATTCTAGACAATTCCATTGTATCTCTCCATTTCAGAGAAATGACATGCAGAAATTTCTAGAAGAGGAACAGTTCTATAATTTACTTCTATTTTGTCCATCAGAATTCTATGTGATGACATCATTTAACATCTTTAACATCATTTAACATCTTACATAATCCAGCCCAAAGGAAAATGATTAAATTACAAAGACCATCACTGTTAAAGATAAACAGTTCTCCAGTCCTCTAAATTGTGTAACTTTATTTTTATTTGTATTTAGACCTTAGCAAAAGCGGGCCATGGTACTTCACAGCAGATATTTAAAAAGAAAATCAAAAATAAAAAATAAAAAAATCAACTAAAGAGTGCAGCTTGCTCTTATCTTGGCTTTACTATTTTTTTAACACGAATTTGATCAGCAAGACAACTTTCCACCACAGTATGTCCAATTTTTCAATCGGCTGTTCTCTGTGTGTGTGCTAAGTGCACCATAGCTTGATAAGCTAAGAGGGCAAAAACACTGAAGGTATAGGTCTAAGAAACCAAGCCACTTCTTTAAAATACAGCTATTGTTAAAAGCTACGAAGAAGTATTTGTATCTTAGGAAGTCACTGAGGCATACCATCTTCTTTTCCTCCTCCATCTTTTCTTTCTCAAAATATTGTCTAAGTTGTTCATCTTGCTTTTCTTTTTCTTTTCTTCTTTTTTCTGCCTCTTTTTTCCTCTCTTCATCTAATCGAATTATTTCTTTATTTTTCAATCTTTGCTGTAACATAAACATTATTAGTACATAAAACAGACTCAATGTTATTGAAGTTTTGCTTTGCTTTGAGAAGTTAAAATTACACATCAAAGTGATTAGTATGAAATGAAAAGCATATTTCATTAGGCTGACTTCAAACATTCAAATTAAAAACTACACCATGCAAATATTAAATATCTGCAGTCCTGGCTCTGATAACATCATTTAACAGAATTCCTAATGACTTCAATAAACACCAGTTTGTGTCCTCATATCTGCTGCCAGTTAAGGATAAACTGTAGGAGTCATTTCCTAAAATACACATTCAAATAAAACGTACTGCAAACATGCACCACCCTATCACAAGCTCACAGAGAAAAATATCATCCAGTCTCAATATTAGTCTTGTGTCTGTGAAAAGCAATAATACCAGTTAGCTTCCTACTCTATACTAGAACAACTCTATTACCCAGAAGATAAGAGTCATCCAACTTACTCATACTAGAACAGAGAATCTAGAATATAAGACGTGTTTTGTATTAGAAATCTTGAAGTCCTACATCCTGAACTGATCTTTCATAATCCTGCAGGGTACTGAAAGATTCTTCTGTCTCTGATTGCCTTGTGTCCTTTTCCTACAATTATTTATGAGATTCTGAATTATGCAAATTCATTCAATTTTCCAAACCTGATAAATAAAGCTTTTGGGTTTGAATTAAATCACAAGTTTACCTTCATGAAAAGCATTCATTAGATTTGCTTGGCATTCTTCCAAAACAAACAGTATTATTATCTCAAAGATATATCCCTGCCCTATTCAAAAACAGGCTTTACAAAATCTTCCTGCATAGCTACATTCAGAATACAAATATTTCCATGAGAGCTAGATTTAACAAGCTAAGGAAAAAAAAAAAAAGAGCTGTTTTTTTTAACTCACCAATTTGAGAAAGCTTTTTATTTTCTTCACAATTTCCTTTAGAAAGGAAATTTACCATTGTCACTTATAAAGTTACATAATTTTTCTTCAAAGCATTAACAGTACTTCAGGCTGGCAGTATACCATAAACAGTGAGAAGCATGTTAATATTGACAATTTTTTACCACTTCTCTGGCTAATGTAGACCCATTTAAAAAACAAAGACTAACTCGCAGAACACTTCTCAGTTTACCTTCTTCATCTAGAGGACAAATGTTACAAAGAGTTAGTTTAGGACGAAAAAAGTCAAGGTATCGGAAATACTACACCTGCTCTTCTTTCCTTCTTTTCTCCTCTTGTTCATCTTCATATGCTTTTTTAATTCTCATCCTCTGTTCAGCTAGTCGTTTTTCTTCTTCTTCTTCTTCCATTCTAAGTTTTTCTCGCTCTGCTTCTTCCCTACGTCTCTTTTCTTCAATCTAGAAAGTAAAGTAAAGAAGTATTCCACTGTCAATAACCAGCAATAATCTGATGAACAACATTTACCATCGTGATCTTCTATGGGCTTTTGCAGTACCTATTTGTGCAATCAAAGACTGCATGGAAAAACTGAAAGAATTCTAGGGCCAGACTCACATTTCAGCCTCAGAATTCCTTTAAAATGACCTGATATTTTACTATTTACTTTTGGCCACTCTTTACTGAGCCACCCTACAGCAAGAAGGCCAATTATAAATGCTACTAATAAAACCTAAGCATTTCCTAAAGCTTACTCGACTCCGGATGTGCCGGACTAACACTTTTCAACACTGATTAAATAGTGGAAGATGTGAAAATGAAAGAAAAGAGATCGCAATTATCTTTTTCCTTTCCACAATTATAATATCTTTAGACGCAGCGCTGACTTAGTGAAAGGTCTGCCCATTCTTCATTCTTTTTGGCAGCACTACACATGGAAAAAGCCTTGATCTTTTCTAAGAGATCCACATTAAACTACCTTATGACATTCATAATCTTTTAAATTATCTAAGACTTCCTTCATATTTAATTAAATTGACATTTAATTCTTGTGACATAAAGTTATATGCAAATCATTATGGACAGAAGACATAAACCAGTAGAATAGCAATCATATTTTATATACTTATCAATAAATAACTACATTATTATTGTCTCACTGATCACCATTTCATTCTGATGAACGTGCATTTGTATCATGTAGCCTTCCAAGGGCAAACGTCTTTGCTTCTTTACATATGTGTATGCAAACTTGTACAGTATGCACTATTTGAGAGATCAATACTGTATGAACTGTATAATACTGTATAATAATATACAATACCGTATATTACTGTACCTAGGAAAAAGAATCTCGATTAATGAAGCCAACTATTAATAGCATTGCTCTTATAGGCATTTCTTGTGTAAGACAAAAATCTGAGACTCAATAGCATATAGCTTTTAGTACACCTCTTGTGTACAGAATTGGCTATAATTAGATAAGAGTCTCAGTCAGTAGTATCTGATTATTTACTTTGACTGTAATCCCTCTTTTTCTCAAATTTGTTTAACAAGATGGTAACTGGTGTGTGGATTCACCTGTAGACGAAGAAAGTTCTTGTATGACTCTTGTCGCTTAAGGTGCTGTGAAGAATTTGAGACAGAAAGCCAGAGTGAAGAAGAGGGAATCTGAGACACTTGTTTCAAAATGTAGTTTATGACAACCATAATTCAAGGCTACAGCTGGAAACAACAGCTGTGATCAAAAGTTCTTACATTGTCTACCTAGAATACTGTCAGGTTTTAACTGCTCAATTAACTATTTCCAAGCCAGCTGTCTTTTTACAAAATAACACCCATACAAGTCATATATTCTACTGTCCAATCTACAGTTTAAAATCCAAGAATGTTACCTGTAAGTTATGAGATGTAAATCTCTGCTATTCTAGTAACTTTACTGCTTGCAATTACTCTGACTTAGCACACGTAGTTCTATTCCTTGGGTTTATTCAATTTTTAAAACAAAAACATCCTAACAGAACAAATGTTTAGATAAAATAGCAATGTATGCTACAAAAAAAGAAAGGCCAAAACTGGCAAATAAAATTCTAAGCACTCAGAAAATTGAATTCTGCCAGTATAAGGTGCCTTCCATACTGGCAAGCTTGAAGTGTCAGGTCTCTTTCAGCCCTGAGTTATGAAAACATCATAACCATACAGTCCCAAAAGCTCTAGACAGGAGGATTAAAGACACAATACACAACAGCTTTTGCAGAACAGGATCCCTACTGGAAGCTGAGAAGAGAGAAAGAAAGTAAAGTAGAGAAAGTGGTGTTCACTTTTCACTTGACACAGCATGTTCTTCATTCATATCATGTCTCCTCCAAAGGATAGAGCAAGGAAGTATAAGAGCTATAGCTCCACTGAGCTGAGATGAACACAGCTGTAGCTGGTCTCATGTTCCCTCTTTACCTTTCCCTATGTGGTGACATACCACCCAAGTCAGATGAAAGCAGAAATACCACAGACACTTATTCCCACAGGAATAAACATGCTTATTGCTACAGCCTAGCCTCAGGAGCACGTGCTTGCGTAACCAAGTAGCACACTTTGAGGTCAGTATTATTTTCCTCACATAGAATCACTGAATACTTCCAAAACATAAACTAAATTGACATGTGTCTCTTTCAGGATGGATTTACTTCACTCAGGATATATGCTACGCAGAAAGTCAGAATAAAGTTTATGTACCATTTAAAAGGCACAGACACAAGACAGACACATTGCTGTGGAGCATATCGAGGAATTAATTTACTGTGTACCAGTTACCATCCTGCAAGTTCCTCTTTAAGGGGATGAGGGAAACAGAAAAAACAACCAAAACCTACACAAAGCCACTTTCCTGCTCAAGTATTCAATTGGAAGGTGCAAGACTATGTATTTCACATCCCTGATCTGCACTGTCTCCTGATCCCAAAACACTGATCTAACCAGGAGGGTCTTTGCTATTCTGCGTTATTGCTTTATCGGCCTTGCCTGTTTCACTGCTTACTAAACAGTTAAATACAGTGTATCAGGTAGAAAGAGCAAAAGGGGGAACCCAGGGAACAAAAAAAATTTGATTCTACAGCCAGTGAACTGCAATGTTGCAAAGCAGATCCACACCCCAAACACCATGTAATTCTTTATGTATAAAGTGCAACAGTTCAGACAGGAGAATGAAAACCAGCATCTAAGTTGACTTGAGGAGATCACCACCGATCCTGACCCTGACCCTCGCCCATCCCAGACTGGAGACAGGTCTGGAGTACCACAGCGCTCTCATTTAGATGACTTCACAAAACATAAGAAAAGAAAGAAAGATGTATCAGTTTTTAAAGAGGGAAATAAAATAAAAATCCCTAAAACTTGGAGGCAGTGCACAGGGCTGCATATATACCTAATTTACGTGTAACTTTGTAGAACTTGTAAACCTAGTTACTGCACCAATTTCTTCTTAACTTACAACATCATTGATCTGCAGACCCTCCTCCTCTTTTTATTCCATTTTCTCTGCTACTATGCTGTTGTATTTTAATGTCATTCAAAAGTAAAACAAGTATGTGTGAAGATTTTATTAGATAACATTGAACCTGGAAAACTAATGTACTGATTCTGACTGTTTAGTGCTAAATCAATTCTTATTTATCATTACCGACAAGACAGATAAGAAAATATGTTTTCAGTGCACACAGGGACAGCAAAGAAGCAGCTTGGGAAAGAAGCATGATACTGACTTCGCAGGTAGAGAGCACTAACAGTGTCATAGGACTACAAGAAAGGAGTAAAGAAACTAGAGAATTCTGATCACTAAAATCTCTAAGTTATTGGAGCTGTAATACAGTATTCTTAAAAACCTGCTATTTTATTTGTAGATGCTTCTGTATTCTCAGGTCTCAGGGAGGCCAAACTTTGGTCAACAGATACAACAGCCCTTTTATCTTCATATAGTCTTGCCTCTGGATTATGCAAGGCATCTTCATTTTGCTTGTGCATCATATTCAAGTCCGCTAAAGGAAAGGGGAAATAACTGTTTATAATGTTTTATTCTCACAAAAGACACGTTCACCATAGATTCTCAAAAATACAGGGATTTCTGAGCAGACTCCACTTTTCCTGGACATACCAACTATGGGAACAAAATACTTAAGCAAAGACAAGAATTCAGAAACTATAGGTAAAATACTAGTCATCAGGAATTCACTGATTAAAAGATATATTTTGTTGGTTTTATTTTGCCAGGAATGATTTTTCACAGCAAAGCTCCCCTCTCCCCCACCCAAAAATGCTATGAAATGGAAAGTTAAAGTGCTCAAAGACAAAAAAAAAAGAATGACAAGTCTGTGTTGACAAGTATGTATTTAGAAACCACCTCCTTCTATTTTCTTAAAGTTGCAAAATATTTTTGGAGTTTATAAAGTATTGGTATTTTAAGTACTGTCTATTTGATTACTATTAAGGGCGATAATAACAATGAACCATTAAAGTGTATTTTGGTCTTCATGTCTTCAGTAATAATTCAGGCACAGATTCCTGTATGTAAACAAAGCAATGTCATCCAACATTTTTCCCAGAGTTTATGTGGTGCCTCTCAGTTACCACAACAGTCCTGATCAAAGATGTTAATTTCAGCTCGTTTTGAAGCGTTCACCATACTACATCTAGAAGGCCTGTTTCAAAACAAAAAAAAGTACTACACTGTTTTCAGATTCTTTTTAAATAATCATCATATTCCAGTAACAAGAAAATCAATTTGCTTCACAGCAGAAATGAAGTTTTAAAATTGTAGGACTGACTCACTTTAAAAGTTACCACTTCCATTCATTTTGGACTATAACTATGACTGCTTCCACAAGAGGAACCTGACTGACACCCCTGGATGTGTATGAGAGATGCTTGTCTCAAAGACCCCACTTCACTTCCTCTGTCTAGTCCATTAGGTATTTTCTTATTTGCTAGATTAACTGGAAGCATTCAAATTCCTGGGGGTGGGAGAAAGAGCAAAAGTTTCAAGTCCATTTGACTTAGCTGAAATGACACAGTCACCATTAAGGGGATTTTCAAACCTGTTCTGCAGACTATGTGGGAAAGTGTTCAACAAAAGAGCACCTGTGGCACTTAAGTGAATTTATTGTTAATACTTATCAAAATATACAAATCTAACTGTGCCTACTGAGTACTATTTTTGTTTTAGATAAAATATTGCTGTAGGGTTCAGTAGGAACCAGAATCAGGAATTTTGAGTGTATTGGGTTTGGTATGGCAAGATTTTGGTAGCAGGGGGGCTACAGGGGTAGCTTTTGTCAGAAGCTGCGAGAAGCTTCCCCCATGTCTGATAAAACCAGTGCCAGCTGGCTCCAAGATGGACCCACCGCTGGCCAAGGCCAAGCCCATCAGTGATGGTGGTAACACTTCTGTGGTAATATAGTTAAGAAGGGGGAAGAAAAAAAATGAAAAAAAAAAAAATCTGCATAAGGCCATTTTCCAGCAGGAGAGAGGAGTAAGAACCCCAGACACCAAGGTCAGAGAAGAAGGAGGGCGGGGAGGAAGTGCCCAAAACAAAGCAGAGATCTCCCCACAGCCCATGATGAAGACCATGGTGAGGCAGGCTGTGCCCCTGCAGCCCATGGAGGTCCACGGTGGAGCAGATCTCCACCTGCAGCCCATGG